TGTTTTTCTTTCCTTCCTGGGCTGACCAACTAACTCCCTTTTCAGCGGGCTCTCTCGCCTGGGTCTCAGAGCTGTTCAGTCTCCATGAAGTGGTTTTTCTTTCATATCTTTGCCATGGTTCATTAATTGTTGATTTGCCAGCTACCTCTCAGAGGACATCCTGATGTCCTGGCGTGAGGGTATCTCAGAGTTGCCCTCATGCTCAGCTGGCAGCAGGCATGTGAAATGGCAGAGTAGCCCTGAGGGTGGCAGACAGAGGGAACTGTGGTGAGTTTTCCCCTTCGTGGCCACCAGCACGTATATACAAGGAAATACGATCTCCAACTTGAGTCAGAAACTCTTGCAAAACAGGAAGTTCCTTGGAGCTGTGATTAAAAGAAGCTCTGTTCTTAATTTTTCCAACTCTGTCACCTTGGAAAATGTTAATTTCCTGCGGAGCCTTTTAATCTCGTTATTCTAAGTCGTCATAACCAGGTTTGTGATTTATGTCTGTATGCTTCTATAAGTTGCTTTCTGTGGTTCCACAAAGCTTATATACTTTTCAGAATAAGAGTGTGGTATACTCAGTGCAGATAGCAACCCTTAAAATTTCTGTTTATATGTGAGAGAGTCAAAAAGGTTGACCAGTACAGAAAGATGTTTAATGAAAAGTCTGTCTCTGGCCCTCAGGCTCCTCCTCTTTACTTCCTCTCTTCAGAGATGACCAGGACTACTGGATTCTTAAAGCAGTCCTTTTTGCCTTGATCTTGATGGTTTACTGCCCCAGCTTGTAATTGAATTTTGATAGTCTTGTGTTTCCTTTAAAATTGCTTTTAGGGGCCGGCACCATGGCCAAGTGGTTAAATTCACACGCTCCACTTCAGTGGCCCAGGGTTTCGCTGGTTTGGATCCTGGACGTGGACATTGCACCGCTCATCAGGCCATGCTGAGGTGGCGTCCCACATGCCACAACTAGAAGGACCCACAACTAAAATATACAACTATGTACTGGGGGGATTTGGGGAGAAAAAGCAGAACAAAAAAGATTGGCAACAGTCGTTAGCTCAGGTGCCAATCTTAAAAAAATAAATAAATAAAATTGTCTTTAAACAGTTGATATGTTAGCATGGTAGGTTTATAGGTAAATGTCATGATGTTTATACATTTTAAATGTGATTAACTGTCTTTTGTCTATACCAGGGTTTCTCAACGGTGGCACTGCTGACACTTGGTGCAGGATAATTCTTTGTTGTAGGAGGAGGGGAGGCTGTCCTGTGCCTTGTGGGATGTTTAGCAGCATTCCTGGCCTCTACCCACTAGATGCCAGTGGTACCCTCCTCCCAAGTGATGACAACCAGAAATATTCCTAGACATTACCGAATGTCTTGGGACGGGGACAAAATCACCCCAGATTGAGAATCGCTGGTCTATACCATTTGATAACTTTCCCTTTTTTTTTTACACATTTGGGCATGCTAATGTTTTATTACTTAAGTGTATTTCTGCGTGTTTGCTGCAGCAATGCCTTCTTTTTTTATTTCCTAACCTTAGAAAATTGCTCCTGAAACTCATCGTTCAAAAGAAGTGCCCCTGAATGAGAGGATTTGTCTGCAAGTGGGGTCCCAGTGTAGCACCAATGAAAGTGACAATCCTAGCATTTTGGTTGAAAAGTGCATCTCGCCCCCTGAAGGTAAGAAGTGAAAGCACTATCTCTTGGTATTTAGAGAATAAATCCAAATTATCCATATGCTTATGTTCAGTCCATTAATTCATTCAATTTTCAAACATTCGCTGAGTCTAATAAATGCCAGGCACTTGTACTAGGTGCTGGCAACACAATAATAAAAATGAGGACGTCCCTGCTTTCGAGGTGCTCACAACTTGAATAACAATGCCTAATAGTTACATAGCAGTTAATAATTTGGAAAGTGATACACACATACACACATGCTCCTCCCCTAAATGGAGCCTTATGAGCGTATCTTGTGAAGTGAGCAAAGCATGTATTATTACCCTGCTCCGTTTGATGAGGAAGAAGGGCGCTGAGTGAGTTGCTGTAGGTCTTCAGATTACAGGTTCAGTGCCTTAAGAAAACCGAGATGCTTTCTTACTCATTGTATAGAGAGATTAGTTGGATATGCAGGATATATTTGGGGGAAGATGTTAAAAGGAAAATGGGCATGCTGGCCTAGCTCCAATCAAGACTAACCTAGGAGAAGCTGTCAAGTAGTCACATGGCTCATCGTCCCCCAACTCCCTTCCTGCCCATCAGCCAGGGTCCTTCTGGCTCGCATGTTCACGCAGGGAGTGGTATATACTGATTAAGAGCAGGGCTGCCAGAGCCCAGATGTCCGAGTTTAAATCTCAGCTCTGCCAGCTACTAGTTGTGTGACCTTGGGCAGATCACTTAGCCCCTCCTGCCTTCAGTTTCCTCATCTGTAAAATGGGGAAGACGATAGTACCAGGACTGTTGAGAGGATTACCTAAGTCAGTGTATGTGAGGTGCTTCAAATAGTGCCTGGCAAAGAATAAATGCTGTATACGTATTACCTATTAATATCATGTTGCCCCTTGGTTGAGCAGGGCCCTATTGCCTGCCTCCAAACCTTAGCACTACGTGGCTTGTTCTCCAGACCATCCTCTCTCCCTGCATTGTGCTCATCAGGGTGTATGAAGTAATATTTGTAAAATTAGAGAATACTGCTAGGAGACTGGGAGCATGGTTTAAAACAACTTAACCTTCCCTATTCTTATTTCTTTAGGAGTTTAATAAATAATCTGAAAAAACCTAAATTGTATTATGACAGTAAAATGGTTGATGATGGCTCAGTACAGATCCTGAGTGATGGCAAGTTTGCATTTTAAACAGGAATTTAATTTAGAGACATGATGATGCCTTACCTCAAAAGGCTTTATAAAGGTAGAAATTTCAGATCTTAAAGATTTTAGGGCTCCTATAGACATAGCACACAATAAGCGACTATGAAGAGTTATGTTATGCTTACCTTTCCCTAGATCACTTCAGGACGAATGTTTATTTAATTTTTAAAACAAGATGTGTCATGGGGCCGGCCCGGTGGCGCAGCGGTTAAGTGCGCTCGTTCCGCTTCCGTGGCCCGTGGTTCGCTGGTTCGGATCCCGGGTGCAGACATGGCACCGCTTGGCAAGCCATGCTGTGGTAGGCTTCCCACATATAAAGGAGAGGAAGATGGGCGTGGATGTTAGCTCAGGGCCAGTCTTCCTCAGCAAAAAGAGGAGGATTGGCAGCAGTTAGCTCAGGGCTAATCTTCCTCAAAAAAAATAAAATAAAAAAGATGTGTCAGTATTGATCAAAAGACAGGAAGGTAAATTACAACTCAATGAATTTTTTTTTTTAAAGACAGGTACATAAAGGGGTTGTTTACATTTTCACATTCATTTAGGAATTCCATAGTCATTTCCTATGATTGAAATATTGTTTAACCTTTAACCTCTTTCTCCAGTTACAGGTACAAGAGTTAGGGTCCCTCAGTGGTAGTACAGATATTTTCTTAGTATCAGGAGGTGAGAGAGAAAGTTGTGAACAAATTCGATTTGGATTTTCTCCGACCTGGGTGCCTTCCGGGTAAAATGGGGTGCGAGATTAGGAATCAGCTGGTGGTAGAGCGGCATGAAATACCCTCACCATCCGCCGTGCCTCAGAGTGATTGGCTGGTTTGCATCACAAGCAAAGAAGGGTCCTAAACTCTCGGCTGGATATTCTAGGTGATCCTGAGTCGGCGGTGACTGAGCTGCAATGCGTTTGGCACAACCTGAGCTACATGAAGTGTACTTGGCTTCCTGGGAAGAATGCAAGTCCTGACACTAACTATACTCTCTACTATTGGTGAGTGTGCCCAGAGGCTGACAGGAGAAGGAGTGATGGTGATTGTGTTGGGGGCCTTTGACTCGAACCTAGTTAAAAAAAAAGAACAACCTATATTATTTTCGGCAAGCCCAAGAAGATGGGCAATTCGCTTCAGTGGAAAACGCATCTCCTTTTGGTGTCTATTTTTGAAAAAAACTTAAAAAAAAATAATTATAGATCCACAGGATGTTGCAAAAAATGTACAGGGAGGTCCCGCATACCCTTCACCCAGTTTCTCCCAGTAGTTACATGTTGTATAACTAGAGTGCAACGTCAAAACCAGAAAATTGGCATTGGTACAATCCACTGAACTCACTCGGATTTCACCAGTGTTACATGTGCTCATTTGTGTGCGTGTGTGCGTGTGTATGTAGTTCTGTGTGATTTTATCACATGTGTAGACATAGAATAGTTCCATTACCATAAGGATCCCCTTGAGTTGCCCTTTTATAGCCACACTCACCTGCTCCTGCACCCCCTCCTCCTGCACTCCACTCCCCTAAGTCTCTGGCAACCACTAATCTGCTCTCTATCTTTGTAATTTTGTCATTGTCAATGTTACTAAGTGGAATCATACAGCATATAACTGTTTGAGCCTGACTTTTTTCTTTTCTTTTCTTTTCTTTTGGTGAGGAAGATTGGCCCTGAGCTAATATCTGTTGCTAATCTTCCTCTTTTTGCTTGAGGAATATTGTCCCTGAGCTAACATCTGTGCCTGTCTTCCTCTATTTTGTATGTGGGGTGCTGCCACAGCATGGCTTGATGAGTGGTGTGTAGGTCCACACCTGGGATCTGAACCCTTGAATCGCAGGCCACCAAAGCAGAACACATGAATTTAACTACTACACCACCAGGCCAGCCCTGAACCTGACTTTTTTTTAACTCTCTGTAATACTCCTGAGATCCATCCAAGCTGTTGTGTGTATAAATAGTTTATTCCTTTTTCTTGCTGAATAGTATTCTGTGATATGGATGTACCAGTTTGTTTAACCATTCATTCGTTGAAGGATATCTTAGTTGTTTCCAATTTTTTGCTATTATGAATAAAGCTGCTATATTCATGTTCAAGTGGGTTTTTTTTTTTTTTTGGTGAGGAAGATTTGCCCTGAGCTAACATACATTGCCAGTCTTCTTCTTTTTTTTTTTTTTTGCTCGAGGAAGACTTGTCCTGAGAGCTAACCTCTATGCCAGTCTTCCTCTATTTTGTATGTGGGACACCACCACAGCATGGCTGACGAGTGGAGTAGGTCCGTGCCTGGGATCCAAAGCCATGAACCCTTGAACCCAGGCTGCCAAAGTGGAATACACAGAATTTTAACCACTCAGCCATGGATCCGGTCCCGTATTCATGTTCAGCTTTTATGTGAACATAACTTTTCATTTTCTGGAATAAATGCCCAAGAGTGCAATTGCAGCATCATATGCTAATCGCATATTTAGTCTTATAAAAAACTGCCAAACTATTTTCTAGAGTGGCTGTGTTGTTTTACATTCCCATCAGCAATGTACGAGTGATTGGTGTCTACCTTTAAAAAGGGAAATTATATCAAGCCCAATTTAAAAGGTAGTTTAGCGCCCCACAAAATAATTTGTATTTGATATTCGTGATTTTATCTACAAAATTTGTTAAATTTATAAATTAATCTTTAGTCATTTCTTTTCCTTTAGAGCCTAGAATTATTAGCAACAGAACAAGGAAGAAAGGACCAGATTAATCAATTCAATTCAATAAAACTTTATTTAGCACACATTGCAGGTAAAGCACTGAACGGGCAGCAGAGATAAGGAATGCATCTCTTTGCTCCTGAAGCTTAAAATGTAGAGGGGAAGACAGTGCCCCACACAATGACCTGTATGAAAATAAGAGTGTGTGATGGGTGCTGTTGCGGAGGGCTGGACAGACCCTCACGAGAAGTTCAGGTGGGGCCTGGGGTGGTGGCAGGGAGAGCCTGGCAGGCTCTGATGCAAAGGATGGAGCACACAGATGGAGGCAGGGCGTTGCGGGAGTGGGCAGGTTCAGTCAGTGTGATACCATGGCGGGGAAGCAGGAGATCTTGCCTTGGCAATCTGTTCTCCACGTGGCCTTGTCCCCTTGCTTTGGTCATTCAAACTGCTTCTGAGAGACTGGAGTGTGGAGCGCCCTGTGTGGGACTTCTGAAGCTATAAGATAAGCATGGCCTTTCATCCCGGAGTGTCCGTGTTTGCTGATGACTTGATGAAAAGTGTTTTTGGTATATTAAGACACTCATGGCTATCTCATGGAATAGAATGCAAAAATCACAGGAGTTTTCAAACGACACCCTCCTGAGTTCCCTGGGGGTTCGCCTTTGCTCTCCTCCCTTCTTCCACAGGGTTCTCCTGGCACAGGGGAGAGGCGGTGCAGGTGGAGCCAGAGGGCACTGAGCTTGTGCGCTTCAGTCTGGAGGGTGTTTTTTTCCCTGGTATAAATGATTCTCGCTTGAGGTTTTGTAGTTTTACTTGCCCACTTGTGGTACCTGTTATTTCTCCTTTACTTAAAACCCTTCAGCAGCTCCCGGGGGGCTTCAGGATCAAGTCCAAACTCTTCAGCATGACAGACAAAGCCCTTTAGGATCTGGCTCCTCTCAGTTTCTCTAGCCTGTCTCCTCTCCCTCCATGCACCCCCACTCCTCTTGCACCCTACCTTCCAGCCCACACTGAACTCCTTTCGCTTCCTCAAACTGACTTTTTACACTCAAATGAATAGTGGAATTCAAACAGAATATTCAAACAGAATGGGGGAAGCAGCCCATACCTTGCCCTTTCGCTTGGATGCCTCTTCTCTGCCTTATCTTGGCTCAGACACGGTTTTCTTTCCAGAAAGCCTTCCTTGACCTCTCAAGTCTAGTTACGTGCCCACAGTACTTTGCACTTTCCCATGTCATGGTACTCAGCACATTGTTGCGTTGTTATTTCCTGTTTACTTAGTGGTAGCTCTCCCCAGGCTGCAGTCTCCCTTGAGAGCAGGGACTGTGTCTTGTTTCCCCCGGTGCCTGACACATGATAGGTACTCCAGAAATAAGTTTCAAATGTTTGGTAGGATCCAAAGCTAGAGAACAGGGACTGGGGTGAGGACTTAAGGAAGGACAAGCAACTCAGGAGCGTTATGGTTCAGGAATAAAGAGAGAGAAGGGTTGAGTCGGTCTGTCTCCCCAAGGACTTGCTAGTGAAGAGGCCAGAGAACTGAGCCTTAAAAGGAGCAGCCCGGCTCTGACGCCGTTGCACTGAAGTCTCGGGAGAGCTGTTCTGCAGGCTTTCAGGGTGTCTGAAAAGTTGGTGGCATCTCTGTGTTTATTATGTCTTAACTCCTCCTGCTTCCCCTGGAGGCCTTATTGGCAAAATCACAGGGAAAACCTGTAAATAGCTGTGTCTACAGAAGGGACAGGGAAAGGAAGGGAGGGAGTCTTAAAACTGAGTCTCATTCCATGGCAGACTGTGCAGGAAAGTAACCCAGGTCCAGGAATCAGCGTGGTGCTGGAGGAGATGGTAGCCTAGTCCTTGGAGTTCTTATAAGACAAAAATAGGGAAGTGCCTCGGGGTACACACTAGCACAAACCACATTTTAGAGCAAATTGCAAAATGAGCACCCCCGCTGGGTGAATGAATTACAAAAAAAAATTTAAGAAAACATTCTTCTTCTGGGTTGAATTATTCCTCTTACTGCCCATGCAGTGTCTTGCCAAAGCCGACAGCAGATGGTGCTTGGGCTGGTCCTCAGCCCTCAGTCGATGCCCTTGTGTAGGGCACAGTCTACAACTGTTGGAGCTGGCTGGGGAAGCCGTCCCAAGAGCTTCGTGGTTCACCGGTCATCAGCACGGACTCTTTCTGTGGTATAGACCGTGCTGTCCAATACAGGAGCCACTAGCCACATGTGACTATTTACATCTTAATTTAAATGAACGAAAATTAAATCCAATTAAAAGTTCAGTTGCTCAGTCTTACCAGCCAATTTCATGTGTGGCTAGTGGCTGCTGTATTGGACAGCACAGGTAGCGAATGTTTCCGTAATCCCAGAAACTTTTGTCGGATAGGGCTGGTATAGATTCTATATCTTCTGCCCTCACCACCCCACAGCTTATTCTTTTCTGGAACCACACTGTCTGGGTTCAAATCCTGCCTCTCTTCCTTACTAGCAGTGTAAATTTGGGCAAGTCCCTTCTCGCTGAGGCTCAGTTTTGTAATCTGTAAAATGGGGATAGTAATAATAGTGCTTCCTCTTAAGGTTGTTGTGAGGGCTGTTATTGTGTGGAAGGTAATTTGGAGCCTTGCCTAACTGCTAACGTGTATACAGTAAGCACTCAATACATGATGGCTATATTGTTTTTTGTTATTCATCCCCACTCCCTTGCAGATGTAGCGAGTACACATTGCTGGCCTCTTCCCCCACCTCAAAGAATTAGCACCCAGCCCATACCTCCTCCTCCCCTGCTCCCCCATAGAGACGTCCTTTCTAATCAAAACCAGAAAAGAAAGGGAGACCCATGGCTCATTCATTCTCAAGCACCCAGAATCGGTTTAGGTACCGGTGTGATCATGTCAAACAAGCTGCCACAGACTGTTTCCCTCAGTCCCAATCAGAAAATGTGGAGTCATTTTGAAGTCCGGGGGCAGTGACTTGTGGTCCTTCGGGGATATTCTGGCACTGAAAGGAGCCTCACTTAACAGCTACAGACTAGCCATGCCAATGAATTTTAGGGAATTTCTTAGCGCATTAATCATCTTCACAGTTGGGGAAATAGTCTGTAATTTGTCCATTTTGTCCTTGTATCTCCAGTGTGATTCTATGGAAGATTTCAGTGTGTGAATTTTAACAGGAAGCACTTGAATGCCTCCTAGCTTAGCTTGTCATCTAATCTTTCACAAGAAGTCCCCAAAAGTTGCCTACTCACAACCAATATTTTCCCTTTTGTTCTTTTTTTAAGTTACGATTTTTTTTAGTTTCTTATCTGGGGGCCGTGAGAATATGTAAAATACTCAGGGTACAAAAATGAAAAAGGATTACCCATTAGAAGAATTCCTTTTATTATCTGAAAAAGATTAATTTTTTATATAGTTTCCTTTAGTTATGTAACAAAAATGTCATAAATTTCTTTAGTTTTGTTTCTGGCTGTGGGCGGAACGCATTCCAGGCTGGTCTGATCTCAAAACTAGCCGTGGCAATAGTTTAGTTTTTAGAAGACTGTTTTCACTTATGAACCACAGGGGCCTACAACTGGGAGAAAAACCTTACATACTACCTCTTAAGGGACAAGAGCATTTTCTATATTGAAGCATTTCTTTGCACAGCCTTTGAAGGAATAAATACATTAGATTCGAATTTTTTTTTAAAGACAAGTTTTTTTAGAGCAGTTTTAGGTTTACAACAAAATTGAGAGGAAGGTAAAGAGGTTTCCCATATTCCCCTATCCCCAGAGCATGTAGCCTCCCCCATTATCAACATCCCCCACCAGAATGGTACAGAATTTGTGACAATTGATGAACCTACACTGACACACCGCAATCACTCAAAGGTGGTGGTTTACCGTGGGGCTCACTCTTGGTGTTGTACATTCTGTGGGTTTGGACGAATGCATAATGACGTATAGTCATCATTATAGTATCCTGCCGAGTATTTTCACTGCCCTAAAAATTCCCTGTGCTCCGCCTATTCATCGCTCCCTCTGCAACCACTGGCAGCCACTGATCTTTTTACTGTCTCCACAGTTTTGCCTTTTCCAGAATGTCATAGTTGGAATCATTCAGTATGTAGCCTTTTCCGATTGGCTTCTTTCACTTTGGAATATACACTGAAGGTACTTCCATGTCTTTTCATGGCTTGATAGCTCATTTCTTTTTAGTGCTGAATAATATTCCATTGTCTGCATGCACCACAGTTTATTCATCCATCCACCTACTGAACGACATCTTGGTTGCTTCTAAGCTTTGGCAATGATGAATAAAGAGGCTCTAAATATTTGTATGCAGGTTTTTGTGTGGACATGCTTTCAGCTCCTGTAGGTAAATACCAGGGAGCACAATTGCTGATCATATGGTAAGAGTATGTTTAGTTTTGTAAGAAACTGTCAGGGGCTGGCCCCGTGGCCGAGTGGTTAAATTTGCGCGCTCCACTTCAGTGGCCCAGGGTGTCGCCGGTTTGGATCCTGAGCATGGACATGGCACCGTTCATCAGGCCATGCTGAGGTGGCATCCCACATAGCACAACCAGAAGGACCACAACTAGAGAATACAACTATGTACTGGGGGACTCTGGGGAGAAGAAGAAAAAAATGAAGATTGGCAACAGATGTTAGCTCAGGTGCCAATCTTTTTTTTTTTTAAGGATTTAATTTTTCCTTCTTCTCCCCAAAGCCCCCGGTACATAGTTGTATATTCCAGTTGTGGATGCTTCTAGTTGTGGCATCCACCCTCCTCCCTCCCCCCTTCCCCTTTGGTAACCACCAGTCCAATATCTGTCTCTGTGTGCTTGTTTGTTATTGTTTTTCTCTCCTATTTATGAGTGAGAGCGTACGATATTTGACTTTCTCCTTCTGACTTATTTCGCTAAGCATAATACCCTCAAGGACCATCTATGTTGTCACAAATGGCCAGATTTCATCGTTTCTTATGGCTGAGTAGTATTCCATTGTGTATATATACCACATCTTCTTTATCCGTTCGTCCCTTGATGGGCACCTAGGTTGCTTTCAAGTCTTGGCTATTGTGAATAAGGCTGCGATGAACATAGGGGTGCATGTATCTTTACACATTTGTGTTTTCCTATTTCTTTGATAAATACCCAGCAGCGGAATAGCTGGATCATATGGTAGATCTAGTCTTAATTTTTTGAGGATACTCCATACTGTTTTCCATAGTGGCTGCACCAGTTTGCACTCCCACCAGCAGTGTATGACAGTTCCCTTCTCTCCACATCCTCTCCAACACTTATTGTTTCCATCTTAGTTCATTTTTAAATTGTCTTCCTTTCCTACAGAACCTTTACACAACTCCCATTATGGCTGATGAGGTAAGACTTGACTTTGTGTCTTCTGCCAGTTACTACAAAACAGAGTCCTTTGATAGCCTAGACAAAAAAGTGTAATGAGCACATCCTTTGTACCTGCACTGTGCTAGGTACTGATGATCATTGGGAAAAGATATGTGTAGAGGTTTTTGAAATGGGAAATAAGATGCCAGCAGTACTGGGAAGTCTATTTAAAGCCACACGGTAGAGTAAGACACTTAGAAAGCCGTTATGTTCTGGAACATTGATCTGGCAGGGATTGGAGAACACTAATAATGAAGGTCAGAGAGGTTCAATCTGGAGAAGACAGGAAGCCTGAAGTGATTAGGGCATGAAACAGGGTGAGGGCAGTGGGAATATCACAGGAGAGAATCCAAGAAGCTTTGCAAAGGAAGAAATAACAGAATATGGTGATAGTATACAGGGAAAGGAGTGGAAAAAAGGTGATTTCGAAGGCTCTAATTGAGGAGCCTAGAGAAAATGAGCTCTGACTGAGGGAAATTTGGAAGGTTAGAAGAAAAGGCAGTTTGGCAGGGAAGAGAGGCCTATGTTTTGGCCATTGAATTTGAGGCAAGAGTGGAACACTCAGATGGAGCAGTTAGAAATCTGAGACTAGGGGCCGGCCCGGTGGCACAGCAGTTAAGTGTGCACGTTCCGCTTCTTGGCAGCCCGGGGTTTGCTGCTTCGGATCCCGGGTGGGGACATGGCCCCGCTTGGCAAAAGCCATGATGTGGTAGGCGTCCCACATAGAAATTGGAGGAAGATGGGCATGGATGTTAGCTCAGGGCCAGTCTTCCTCAGCAAAAAGAGGAGGATTGGCAGTAGTTAGCTCAGGGCTAATCTTCCTCAAAAAAAAAAAAATCAGAAATCTGAGACTAGCTCCCAGGTGAGAGGTCAGGACTAGGAATCCCCAGTGTAGAAATTCTAATCAAGGAATGGAGGTGATAAACTGAGGGTGAATGGATGAGGTAGTACGAAATAGGGGAGAATGTGCAGAGGGCTGAGGACTGGATGTGAGCCCTCTGAGGAGAGAAGGGAGAAGAGCAAGCCAAGCAAGCAGGGAAGGAGCAGGCAGAGGGACCAGAGTAAAATCATGGAATTCAGCAGATGAGGCATTTTCAAGAAGCATAAAACTTCTCATCTGGGCCTCGTAACATCTCTTATATAAAAGAGGAGAAAGGGTCAGGACTCTATAGTTTCTATAGCTACTGGAAGTACCAGTGTTCATCAAAAAGGAACATTTCTTTCTTCCTAGAATATGAAATGGAGCTACATTATAAAATAGGGTTTTTAAAAAAGCTGTCTGGCTGTATGCAAATATTGCTTTTCATGGACATCTTCAGTCATTAAAAAACAGCAGCAACAAACTTTTGCCTTTGTTTCTTGAAATCTTTGTTAAAAATAATGCAGAAGCTTGTCTCATTTTATCTTGTAGGCACAGCAGCCTGGGAAAAATTCTTCAATGTGAAGACATCTATAGAGAAGGTCAACACATCGGTTGTTCCTTTGCTCTGACTGAAGTGAAGGATTCCATTTTCGAACAGCACAGTGTCCAAATAATGGTCAAGGATAATGCAGGAAAAATTAGACCATTTTTCAATATAGTGCCTTTAACTTCTCATGGTAAGTTTTAGAAGTGTTACATCTTTTGATCAATCAATACAAATAATACAAAATGATGATTTTGGTTTTAAGATCTTCCAAGAAAAAAAGGACTATATTTGTGTGTGCCTTTCTTTGATCCTTTTTAAAGAAGCAAGCTGGGAAATCCTAACATTTATTGAGCACGTGTGCTGCAGGCTTTGTCCTTGTTTCCTATGAGCACGCCGAGACTTGGAGCAAGCAGTTGGTTGTAGAACCAAGCTTGGAACCCAGGCTCTCTGGCTCTTAAGATCTATTGTCTTTTACTCATGATGCTTGAGAAGATGATGCCGCAGAATAAAAGTGGTCGAATAGAATTCCTGAATAATTTCTCTCTTAGGAAAAGCTGAGAGTGGAGGTGGAATGATCCGGGGTGATAATCAAACTGTCAGGCACTGATCAATCAGAACAACCAGTGCTGCCAAGTGTCGGCCTGTTAGAAAGAGCCCTCAACTTGAAAACAAAACATCTGCTTGAGGGCCTAGCTTCTTTACCTCGGACAGGGTATATAAGCTCTCTCTTTTTTTCTTTTTTTTTTTTTTTAAGATTTTATTTTTTCCTTTTTCTCCCCAAAGCCCCCCCCAGTACATAGTTGTATATTCTTCGTTGTGGGTCCCTCTAGTTGTGGCATGTGGGACGCCGCCTCAGCGTGGTTTGATGAGCAGTGCCATGTCCGCGCCCAGGATTCAAACCAACGAAACAATGGGCCACCTGCAGCAGAGAGCGCGAACTTAACCACTCGGCCACGGGGCCAGCCCCATCTTTTTTTCTTTTTTTAAAGATTTTACTTTTCCTTTTTCTCCCAAAGCCCCCTGGTACATAGTTGCGTATTTAAGTTGTGGGTCCTTCTAGTTGTGGCATGTAGGATGCTGCCTCAGCATGGCTTGGTGAGCGGGGCCATGTCCGTGCCCAGGATCCGAACCTGCGAAAGCCTGGGCTGCCAAAGCGGAGCGTGTGAACTTAACCACTCGGCCACGGGGCCGGCCCCATAAACTCTCTTTGTTTCCTTATCTGTAAAACAGGGTACATTGTCCCTCTTGACCTCAAAGGATTGGTGTAAGGTCCATGTGATGTGAGGTGTGTCAAAGCGTTTTATAAATCTCTAAAGCAGGCTACTATAGGCATCATGTTTATTTATTTGCTGTAGTACCCCAACAGGGAGCTCAGGTTCTGGCTAAGTGGTATACAGAAAATTTGTAGGCAAATCATGAATTGACAAAGGCTCCCAAGTCTGTGAGCAGAACTCTATTTACCATCCCTTTGAATAGTCATGGAAGTGAGTTCTAATAGTGGACCGAAGGTGGCTTAGTTTGTAGGCCAGGAGAGTGAGGTCGCAGTGACTTGCCAAGTCGGATAATCTGAAGCAACACCGTTGTCTGTCGTCCCCCTTGCTTGGCAGATTGTCCTCGATGGACCTTTGAAAGCTCAGTTTGCTATTCTTCTTCCTGGAGATTAGTGGTGACATAAAGGGAGCTCTGTCTCAGCTAGAAAATGACATCTTCAAGCTGTTCTCTGTTAATTAGCCATTCTCTTCTGTTGCTTGGTCTTAAGCCATAGTTGACTCCCAAGAAACTAAGTTGACTAGGTTCATTTTTTTTTACTTTATTTTTAATTGTGGTTATAATCACACAACATACAATTTGCCATCTTAACCGTTTTTAAGTGTACAGTTCAGGAGTGTTAAGTACATTCACATTGTTGTGCAGCAGACCTCTAGAACTTTTTCATCTTGTAAAAGTGAAACTCGCTGCCCATTGAACACTAATTCCCCCTCTTCCTTCCCCCAGCCCTTGGTAACCACCTTCCTACTTTCTTTTTCTATGATTTTGACTACTTCAGATTCCTCATATGAGTAGAATCGTACAGTATTTGTTCTTTTGTAATGGGCTCATTTCACTTTGCATGATGTCCTCAAGGTTCACCCATGATGTAGCATATGACAGAGACCAGGCTAACGTTTTGTGGTCTTTGATTGGCACACGTGAGTGACAGCTGGGGAGACCCCTTGCGCCTGGTACCCCTTGCCACCCATCAGGTGGAGGCACATCTGGACCCACGCACTTCTTTTCTTTATTCTCTCTGGTGCAGCT